TCGAAGGTGCTACTGGACTCGAACGTGGCTGTTCTATTGCAGACCGACACGGCTACCCTTCGAAACTGTCTTAAGGGGGTTAAGCAGGGCTCTTTTTGTAGAAAAAGCCCAGCAGGAACTCATTAACATAATAGGCCACACCCGACAGCAAAAATGCATTAGCATATTAGGCCACACCCCCTGACAGCACAGCTCATTGGCATATTAGGCCACGGCCCCATGCCTTCCCTTGGGGAGTCTGGGCAAGCCTCCCCTTGAAAGGAAGGAAAGGCAGTTTAAACTGCCTTCCCTTGGCTTGCTCGGGCTATTCCTGCCCAAAAATAGCCCTGGGGTTAAGTATTTATCAGCAAAAAGCATTCTAAAGGAAACTCATTGGCTCTAGCAAGACTGTTTTACAGTATGTTTCACTACAGTGGCTTCCCCACAAAGAATCCTGGGAACTGTAGTTTGATGAGGATACTGTTAGAAGAAGAAGAAGAAGAAGAAGAAGAAGAAGAAGAAGAAGAAGAAGAAGAAGAAGAAGAAGAAGAAGAAGAAGAGATTGGATTTATACCCCACCCTTCACTGCCCAAAGGTGTCTCAGAGTGGCTTACAAACTCCTTTCCCTTCCCCTCCCCACAACAGACACCCTGTGAGGTGGGTGGGGCTGAGAGAGCTCTGACAGAAACGGCTCTTTTTCAAGAACAGCTCTTGTCAGACCTACGGCTTGCCCAAGGTCATCCAGTCAGGTTAAAGTGGAGGAGTGGGGAATCAAACCTGGTTCTCCCAGATTAGAGTCCGCGCACTTAACCACAACACCAAACTGTTAGAGATCCATTCCTCCTCAAACCCACTTCACAGGGCTTCATTGGAGTCTACGGTGTAGGTAGGGTTGCCTGGCAACTGGCAGGAGGCTTGGGGGCAGGGACCAGGGGGGGACTGTGATGTCACCTTCACTGCTATGTCACGACATAGAGTAGCTCTAAGAACCACCAGAAACTCTGTGGTTTTGCCATAGAGTTTCCAGCGATTCCTAGAGCTACCATGTGTCACTTCCTGGTGTTCCCCAGAAGTGATGTAGTGGCACAGATGCCACTGGCATCCTACTCCAAGTGGCGGCAGGCAAACAGGGCTTCCAGTGGGAGGCCTCCCACCATAGCTGCTCTAGGTGTAGCTGTGCTGACAGTGACGCCCAGTTGAATCCAGTGGTCATTTTCCAACCCCAGGCTGTTCCTGATGGTCTCCTTTGCCTCCCCAAGAATATTTTGGGGAAAGGAAGGCAGGGAAGTTCAGTTCAGTTCCCCAGAGAGAGCTGCTTTGCACCAGCGACACGTGACCCTTGGATCTTTGTTGTTCAGTCGCACAGTCGAGTCCGACTCTTCGCGACCCCATGGACCAGATCACGCCAGGCCTTCCGGTCTTCCGCCATCCTCTGAAGTTGGCTCAACTTCATGTTCGTTGACACTGTCATCTATGACACTGTCTAACCATCTCATCCTTTGCCGTCCAGTCTTTTTTGACCTTCAGTCTTTCCCAGCATCAGGGTCATCTCCAGTGAGTGCTCCCTTCTCATTGGGTGGCCAAAGTATTTGAGCTTCAGTTTCATTATCTGGCCTTCCAGGGAACAGTCAGGGTTGATTTCTTTTAGGATTGGATCTAGCCCAGTGGAAATTAGAGTATTTCTCTTGCATGGAATACCTTCTCCTGCCCGTCCTTTTTCCGGATCTTGCCAGAATACTCGACACGCTCAGTGAATACAAACAATGAGAGGCAGCATACATATTTTCCTGTACGGTTGTTCCGCGAAAGGTCGGGTATGAAAGGAGAGAAGATTCTCTGCTGGATAGATAAGGTACTCAGTGATTGTTGTAATCAGAGCACCACCTATTGATGAAGAAAGGCAGTGCAGATAAAGTGGCCTGTTAGATCTAGATGGGTTGCTCCAATAGTCTGTCCGTAGCAGCAGAAAAGAGCAAGAGTCCAGTAGCACCTTAATTTGCAACAGGGACTGAGCTTTCGTGAGTCTGAGGAGACAGTACTGATCTTGATGGACCAAGGGCCTGATTCAGTATAAAGGCAGCTTTATGGGGAGGGGCCGTGGCTCAATGAAAGGGCCTCTGCTTGGCATGCAGAAGGTCCCAGGTTCGATCCCCGGCATCTCCAGTTAAAAGGATCAGGCAGTAGGTGATGGGAAAGACCTCAGCCTGAGACCCTGGAGAGCCATGGAGAGGGGCCGTGGCTCAGTGGCAGAGCATCTGCTTGGCATGCAGAAGGTCCCAGGTTCAATCCCTGGCATCTCTAGTTAAAGCGACCAGAGCACTAGGTGATGTGAAAGACCTCAGCCTGAGACCCTGGAGAGTCAGGGAGAGGGGCGTGGCTCAGTGGGCAGAGCATCTGCTTGGCATGCAGAAGGTCCCAGGTTCAATCCCTGGCATCTCTAGTTAAAGCGACCAGAGAGGAGGGGGATGTGAAAGACCTCAGCCTGAGACCCTGGAGAGTCAGGGAGAGGGGCGTGGCTCAGTGGCAGAGCATCTGCTTGGCATGCAGAAGGTCCCAGGTTCAATCCCTGGCATCTCCAGTTAAAAGGACCAGGCAGGAGGGGATGTGAAAGACCTCAGCCTGAGACCCTGGAGAGTCAGGGAGAGGGGCGTGGCTCAGTGGCAGAGCATCTGCTTGGCATGCAGAAGGTCCCAGGTTCGATCCCCGGCATCTCCAGTTAAAAGGATCAGGCAGTAGGTGATGGGAAAGACCTCAGCCTGAGACCCTGGAGAGTCAGGGAGAGGGGCGTGGCTCAGTGGTAGAGCATCTGCTTGGCATGCAGAAGGTCCCAGGTTCGATCCCCGGCATCTCCAGTTCAAAGGACCAGGCAGTAGGAGATGTGAAAGACCTCAGCCTGAAACCCTGGAGAGCCGCTGCCAATCTGAGTAGACAAGAGTGACTCTGGTGGACCAAGGATCTGATTCAGTGTAAGACAGTTTCATCTGTGGTCATTTGTGTCTAAAGAGAAAGTTAAGCTAAAATCTATTGGGGTAGGGGAATGTCTGTATTCTGCCCAACAAAGTTGAGTCCAGTGGCACCTTTAAGACTAACAAAGTTTAATTCAGGGTATAAGCTTCCATGTGCATGCACACTCCTTCAGATACATTGAAACAGACTTCGCCAACCATTATATATAGAGGTGGGGGGTAGTTGTTAGGAAGGGCTAATTAGAGTCAAGATGTAGAAGTAACTGAGTGATAAGTATAGCCAAGACTCAATTAAAGCAGTTGGTAAATAGCAAGCTAAGACTGGATTAAAGCAGTTGGTAAATAGCCACAAATTAGCATACAGAATAAAAGAGTTAACAAACAGATGCCGGAACTGAGTGACTTAGCATGTGTAGTGAGATAAGAACCCAATATCTCTGTTAAGCCCTGGGGGTTCCATTGTCCTGAGTGTTGTCCAGTCTGTTTCTGAAATTCCTTTGCAATAAAACAGCTACTTTGCGGGGGGCCCATTGAGTGTCCTGGGAGGTTGAAATGTTCTCCTACGGGTTTCTCAGTTTTGTGATTCTTCATATCAGTTTTGTGTCCATTTATCCTTTGGTGTAGTGTTTGACCTGTTTGTTCTATGTACCGGTTTCCGAGGATCACTCCTACTGCTCCTTTCTCCCCCCCCCTTTCTTTTAGGAGTGCAAGTTTCTCTCAAGCCACGAGGTCCTCGTTCTTCATGAGAAGCGACCCGTCCGTTCAGAAACTCTCTCAGGGGAATGGTCACTGCGTGAACGGCATGGGCGGACAAGTCCACGGCTTCTATAGTTTACCCAAGCCGAGCAGGCACAATTCGGAACTCCAGGACAGCGCCTACGACCTCCCCAGGAGCTTTGGATGCTACGCCCACACCAAATCGAGCCTCACGGGCTCCGAAACGGATAGCGAGGAGGTCTATACCTTTAAGACTCCCAACAATACCCTGTGCAAGGACTTTGGGGAGCTGACCACGGATTCGTACGATGTCCCCGGTACCCCCTTGTCCATTTATCAGATCCCGAGGACATTCACGCTGGACAAGAACCACAACGCCCTGGCAGTGGCTGCCAACGATACACCGGCTGCTCCTCCTCCTCGGCCTCCCAAGCCAGGGCAGGCAGAGACACGGTGGGGCAGCCCTCAGCAGCGGCTGCTGGACAGTGAAGGCCTCAGCATGGGTTCCGTGGCTGCCACCATTCCCAGGAGGAACACACTGCCGGCAATGGAGAACTGCAGGCTGCATCGAGGTAAGGGTGGGTTCTGGAGGTAGGTCAGGGCCTACTGGGGCTGCCAAGGCCCCAGTTGGGGCGAGGGATCCCCCCCACGCCCCTCTGGACAGTGGCAGGGGACAGAATTTTAAAAACCGACACTCGCTGCAGCATCGCATCATTTTTGGTAAAGAAATGGAAGTGATATCAGGTCGCTCTAGGAATCGCTGCTAACTCTATGGAGGTAGGGTTGCCAGGTCGTACCTTATCCTGAAGCGGGGGACTCCCGTGTTGATCCTGGAGCGCACGTCACCAGGAAGTGACGCGACCACACCGGGCACGCTGGGGGCGAGGCCACGACCATCCGAGGGAAAACCATAGAGTTTTCCCTC